ATCAAATAATTTAAAAAATAATATAATATTGCAAGATATTTGAGGGATGAAAATTATTGAAGGGTCTGGTGATAAAGTTACATCAATAAGATATAAGTGTATAATGGGAGATGTCAACAAATTTGACATTGTGCAACCTTAGTATGACACATTCAAGAACCAGAAAAGACAATCCAATGACCAAGAATGACAAAAACAAGAAAAAAATATATATACCCCAATAACCCTTCCTCCTTCCCCATTAGCTCTACTTCTGCAAGATAAAACCAACTGGTGCACCGATAATTATAATCTGTATCTGCATGGTATGAGGGAAAGGCTTGTGCAGGACTTGGGATAATTATTGCACTGAAGCAGGAACTTTCAGGAAAATAAACAGATCTAGATTTTTCTATGAGAAAAAAGGAAAGTAACTTAACTACTAAGGAGTGTGGCAACTCATACTGGTAAATTAGTGTATAAAACTGTCACCTTGTTCCAGTATTAGATTTTAAATTCAAATGCCTGCCTAAATTTTTGTGTAAATAGGATGGATTGCATATTGTCTAAGATCTCACTTTCAATATTAGGCATCTTCCATTTAACCACCCACTACATCCTCTGCCCCTTTCCCATAGGACCCCCTCCTGTCCATTCATGGCTGAGATATTCATATCATTTTATCTTACTCATAGTATTTCATATATACATCTAAATGCATGATTTATTACTAGAAAACTTATGATGGATATGTAATTTTTGTATTATATATTCTTTTATGAAGTGTTTTGTAAGTTTTCCCCTTTTTCACTCATACAGAAGGATATCTAACATATCAACAAAAGACATTTTCTGGTGTGGAAAATCAAGCTCTTCACACATTAAACATTATAGACCAATTATGACTTCATGAATGCTGATTAGTCATAGTTATATGTAGCTGGTAGGCTAAGTGGGCTAAAGATTACAGTCTTTATTATTAAAATCAGAGAAATTCTTACAGAAGTGACTTCATTTGCATTATCCCCCCTCCCCCCAAAAAAAGAAAGAAAAAAAAAAAATATATATATATTTTTTTTTCTTTATTCATATCAATTTTTTAACCCCACTCAACCCCTATTTCCCCTCCCCATTACCACACTATCTCCTCTATTTTTAGGGAAGGTCCCCTTAAAAAAAATTCAGTCTACAGAGAAGAGCACCTACTACCAAATAACACTCAGTATATACAGTACATGATTGAGAAATTTACTACTGCTAGCTGATTGCCTGGCTAGATCTAATACATATAACTGATAGCTTTTCAAAATTATATATATGTTATATCAATCAAAAATCACAATAACAATACACTTAATAATGTAATACATGTTAGGCCACATCATTTTCACACCAAAGCTAAATCAATGAATATCCAGTATAGCACACATGGAATGTGTTGCATATATTAGAGAAATCTGACTGTCACCTGCAAACACTGATATGCCAGTAACTGTTACATTTAAAACCCAATGTTGCTGGGAACATGTAATATCAATTGTAGTTGTTTTGTGACATGTTTTTACATACAGATGGCTCCACAAGTGCTCAGCCACCAAGGAGTCAGTAAGTGGGCCTGCAATACTTCACCTGATATCCCCTAAGCTTGACTTTTACTTTTTTAGGTTATTATCGTTATAACTAATTTCATGATTAATGTTATTCAATTTACGAAGTTAAATAATGATAATAATAACAATAATAATAAAAACAGAATATCAAGGAAAACAGCAAAGAGGTGGGAAGGTAGGACTAGGAATTGACTCTTTTGTGACTAAGCACTTGTGGGGCCATGTATATGTACACAAAGCTAATAAACTAAATGCACCAGTGGGTAGGGCATCCCTGTCAGCAATGGATTAACATGTTAAAAGACTTACATTTGGACTCTTGTTGGGGAGATAGATGGGAAGATCTCGAGCTACGGTAAATGTGTTTGTAGTCACCAAGAGAGGCAACAGAACCAGCTCAGTGTGGGAGAGTGTCCAAAAGTTTCGTGTTCCACTTACAACTTGCCCTTCCATCATTACACAAGCATATGTTGAGTCTGCACTTTCAGCAAACTTTTCAATTTCATTCTGAAAGAAATCAATTATTCAGTAAAGCAATATTCATTTACATATACAGTTAAATAACAAATCTATTAAAAAAAAAAAAAAAAAAAAAAAAAAAAAAAAAGTGAATATATATGTACATATATATCTATGATTGTATGTATATATGTATGTATGTATCTATGTCTCTCTCTCTCTCTCTCTCTCATACATATTTAATATACATCAATGCATGCACTTCTCTGGACATGTACTGACAGACACTAAGCTTTGTCTAAGTTACATCAATAAATATCAACAACTGAATATATCTGTTGACAAGTGTTAACCATGCCAAGTATAATTAGCCCCTACGATCCAGATAACGTTATGGTCCTGTCATGGAAAAATCTGAGTCGAGGGCCAGGTGACAAGAACATGCCATCATATGGCAAAATAGCTGTGGGCTAAGTGACGCCAACTTCTTGTCATGAGCAAAGGCCAGGGTGATAGAAAAGACATGCCAGGAGTGCACACAACTCTTAGAGTGTGATTTAAATCATTTGGGGATTAGAAGGGGGCTTTAGCATTATTCCCACAGATAAACAAATGCGGGATGTAACATGCATAAGCCATGACTGGAAGAGTGCCTGCTCCAGGGAGGAAGCTGTTTCCATGCTGTGCACCATATTCCTGGCTGCTGTGACCAGCAGTGCAGGTTGTATTGCGGAAAATTGAAAATTCTTAAAAAATGAGATATATGACACAAATAACCAGATATTTCATGCATTTTTTTCTTGCTCCGAATTATTTACTACACAGAGAGATGATATGGAGTCTATGCAAGGAAAATACGGTATTACTACCTGGATAAAGCAAATCAAAAGACAAGTAGGGACACTGGAAAATGGCAAAAAGGCTAAAAATGTTTACACAAAATAACTTTGGAATGGGGAGGGACAGAGTTTTGCATAATATGTGAAGGAAAAAAAAAGAAAAAATATATAAAATGCTAACCTGTAGTGCATGGTGTTCTGGAGGTATAACACACTCTGCACATCCAGTAAGGTGAGAGAAACCCTGATGGTTTTCCCCTCCAACTGCGCGGAAGAGAAGCTCATCCAGCAATGGGAAGCAAGGCTAAGGGAAATGTCCAGATATGTTATTTGATATATTACTATTGAGTAACAAACTGACAATGTATAATTAAGTGATATTGTTGATAAAAACAATAATAACAATCCATTACTAATACTAAGAATCTATTACTCACAATATAGATAATGCTATGATCTCCGAATACAACTTACTCTGATATCTCGTTTTAATCTCTCAATATTAGTCGATGAGGTCACAGTATCAAGTCCAAGGAGCAAGACTAGGGATGCAAACATGAGGTCTAGGAGGCTGCTATCACTGCTATCTCCTGTTGTCTCACTCCCTCTAACCAAAACCAGTCTAATACTGTGGTGAAACGATAGTTCCATTAGACATCATCATAAACATTATCACAGAAATTTAAAATTAGTTTCTGTCAACCAACAGCATGGATTTAAAGTCTGTGAAAGTAACTTGCAGTTGAAGTTCTTCCAGTATAAAAGATTCAACGCACTGAGTTTACTGACTCCTACAAGGAGAAAGAAAATAGCACTATGTTATATTATAGTTTTTTTTTTATTCTTACCTATCATGATAAGTTTTCCAAGTAAGTGAGGCATTCTGAGTCCTTGTTGTACAGAGGGTAACTCCATGAGATTCACCAAAAACGTGCACACCATTCAGTGAACCAATCAAAGCATATGGAGGCTGAAAGAATTTTAAAAAAATATTATTACTAAGCTGACAAGATTCTTTCATTCTTAATTGTAAATAAAAACCTATACCATCACTCCAATGGACAAGACAGTTCCATTTCTTTTATTTCTCTTTCTATATTGAAGTAGTAGTTGATGCCTGTTATATGTATTTCTGATGAATATATAATCAAAACCGGTTAAATACATCTCTTGTATTGTGAAGATATTCGATCTCATTCATACCTTTCCACATTTGTCAACAGAAAATGTGTGTGTGTGTGTGTGTGTGTGTGTGTGTGTGTGTGTGTGTGTGTGTGTGTGTGTGTGTGTGTGTGTGTGTGTGTGTGTGTGTGTGTGTGTGTGTGTGTGTGTGTGTGTATATATATATATATATATATATATATATATACAGTGAACCCTCGTTTTTCGCGGGGGTTACGTTCCAAAAAGAACCCGTGATAGGCGAAATCCGTGAAGTAGTAATCTTTATTTTTTTTACAATTATTATACAATGAAATACTCTACAATACATTGAAACCAAAGAAGAAAACCTTTTTACAGGCCCATGCATTTGTTAATAAATAAAAGTACTGTATAAAGTTTTTTTTTTAAAAATAACTACTGTACTGTAAAATAATAATTTTAACCATCAATATGAACTGAAGGCTTCATGGGTTTTAGAGAAAATTTGCATACTTAAATTTGGCAAGCTGTTTTACGTACATGTACATATTAAACCGTAACGTTATTGAGACACAGGTAGAGAAGAAGCGGAGAGACTGTTTAGCCAATCAGAATGCAGAACACAATGCACAATGCAAATCCGTGAAGCAGCGAGAACGTGAAAGGTGAACAGCGTTATAGCACGGGTTCACTGTATACATATGTGTGTGTGCTGCTTTGCCATTTTTCGGCTTGGAAATTGCCCCCCTAACTTCAGTTAGGGAGGGTGGATCCTCACTGATGGGTGGGTCTGGCATCAGAATCACGGCACTACCCACATCCAAGTAAACTGTTGGTTAACTTGGTAAGTAGCCAAATCTTGTTTTGACATGCACATAGTAATACTGGTACTACTTAGGGCATGCATTAAGGAGTTATGCAGTCAGTGTTGTGTTTTTCTTCACAAGGTAAACAAGCTAATTGACGTAGAACTTGAAAAGCAAGCGGTGACTATAAGGCTGCTGCAGCTTAAACTATGCTCGATCCGACTCTATTTTTTCCGCTTTATAAGATGGCGGTGTCCATTTATCTCTATTTACGCGTGTCAGTGTCAGTAACTTCTTCCGAATCTGCGCAACACATAATACCACAGTAAATATTTACAGGAAAATGTAATTAAATTATTATAAAGAACGAGTTAAACTACACACAATGATATCTGACAAAAATTGTAATCAGAAATGAAGAAAATAAGTTGCAACTAATGCCAGGCCCAGATTTAGCTCACAGAGATCAGATGGCGGTCCATGGGCAGTGCCCCCAGTAATGAAATACCGAGATTGGATGAGGTTCTGGAGGTAAAGCCCCCAGGTTTGGATTGTTTTTGGTACATATAGAAATGTTTGTGGATTCCCTAGAAGATATAAGTAATAAGGACTTGTCTCAGAGAGGAGAGGTCTGCATAAATAAAACTCATTTTAACATCAGTTGCAATGTAAAATAAGAGATTCACACAATACAATATGAACAATTGAAAAAAGGAATGATAAGCACAAGGTTGGATGGTTATGAGAAACTAATAAATTAGAGTGATTACAGCTTTGGCATGTGTAGTGAAATAAACAAGCTAGTGGTGATATCGACACAAGATGGTACCACTCTCAATTAGGATAGGTTAGGTTTGGGCTTATTACCTAAAATAATTCTTTACAGTACAGATGCATTCACCTGAGATTAAGTCCCCAAGTCCATGTCACAAAATTTATTTACTAATCTAAGTTGCCATGACTGGTGTGCCCTATTGGCTCTGCCCCTAATACCCCCTGGTAAACATTGTCTTCACATTGTATGCATAGCAAGATAGAGCTGAAACCAGGAGCACCAAGTGGACTTCAGTGGAGAGTGATGCTTTCCACAATCTTTTAACTTCAGTTTTTTGCTTTGTCGTTTGTGTCTGCAGATTATTTCTTGTACCAACATCTGTAACTTTTTGTCCTCTACAGATTAACCATATCCAGAAATAAAGTTCATATGCGCATATTCATGTGTGTGATGTATGCCTAACCGCAAGCAATCAGATATGGCTGCTGTATGTAGAATCCCAGCCAAAAAATTACTAAATACTATAGAACTGCTATTTTTTAAGCCAGCTGGACAGCCATGTGAATAACTAACAGGAATGTAAGAAACTCTAAGGTTCAGGAAATCTACAAATGTGAAAAATCTAAACTTTGGGGCAGATTCTTCACAACCGCAAACTTCCAGCTCTCACCACTGTTTATTTTTTAAACTTCTGGCAAAAACTTTATAGGGCTACAAGTTCCTTATAAGGGATTTGGAATTACTATTTGTAACCATTCTGTTTAACAATCTTTTAATTGTTGAACCACTTCCAACCTCACTATTTCTAACGAGAATGGGCGTATCACCGTTTTTCATCGATGTAATGACACATTCTGTTGTTTACATTTCTTCGTACTTAGTAACTATCCATCTATGTCGCTCAAGAACACGATGAAAACTGTCGGCCTTTCAATAACAATACACTACAGCCTGCAGACCTAGGCCTCCCCCAAGGAGAGCCTTCAAGGTCGCAGACGAACAGCTGCACTTGCGTGCACTTGTCTCTCCAGACACCTGTTGCAGGTCTCCCCTCCCTTCACCACTGTTGGGCGACTCTACCTGGAAAGAGTCAAGAGACCCCATGTATACCAATGATAAGACCCCTTACCGGCTTCCCGTGCCCCGTATGCCGCACAAACAGAGGCACTCCGCTGGGAGCCCAAAGCCCCACCAACGTCCAAGACGCCATGACTGTCAAGAACCCCACGTCCCTCCTTTCTTCCTCCCTCGCAAGGACTCACTACCTGGACGGATTCCACACTGGACGCGTTCGCTCGCTCCTTCGCTGTCCTTTGCCCCTCCCCCTCCCACCGGAAGGAGTACTGTACTCCTCTACTCTTCCATTTTTCTTTTCGTCTTTTGCTTTACTTCCCATTTCTTTTTCTTCTTTCGTCTTTCCTTCTTTCTCAGTATATTGCTCATTTCTCAATGATTTATCTGCTTTCTCTCCTTCCAAGTCTTTAATTTTCGTTCATTTATTTTTATCTCTATTTTTTATTTACCATTTCCATTTCTCTTTTCTTTTCCTCCTGAGTCTTTTGTTTATGTCTATTTTTCTTCTTTCTTTCTCTTCTATCTATTTGGTTTAGTAATAGATTTTATCCGCAGCGGCCTTATATGCATTTTCTTGCAGTCCTTCGATTTGTTCAAGTAATTTCAAGCCATACACTTCATTGAGCCATTTAAGGATTATATAAAGTTATCTCATAATGAAACGCATGTGAAAATGATATGAGATTATACAGAAATATATAATGTCTATTTCTAGGCTTAAAAGAGTCACTAAAAAACGCAATACAATTGACACGGAAGGCAACATTGATAAATGGGAGATAAATCATCTTTTGAATTTCTTTACATGACTTACATTTATCTTTAGAGACACTGTATGATTACTTTTTAATAGGAAACAAGAATTCAAATGAACAATAAATATACCTCATGTGTTTTTGAGATATATCAAAATGCAGACAAATTAATACACTGTCGAAATCGAGTCACAAAGCAAAACAATCCAATTGGTATACATTTTGTATAGCAGCACCTTTTCTTTTTGTCTTCCATAGTACAAAATCATTTTATTCCTTGTTTTAGGATTTTCATTTCTGAAAACCTCTGACAGGCAGTGGCAAAAAAGAAATATATAAATGAATAAATATTTTGGTGTTTTGACTTATTTTCAGAACAGTTCATTGATTTCTGGAAACATGTGAGGCAGTAGAACCAAATAAATTAAATACCGATGACAAAACACGTATGGAATCAATATTTTTCATGTGCCCACAGACAGGAGTGATCGACAGATCCGGTGATATATTCTGCTGAAGACAAACGTCAAATATTATTATTATTATTATTATTATTATTATTATTATTATTATTATCATAGTAAGCTATATAAAGAGCCAAACTGAAAAAAGTCGAGACTTATATCACCAAAGGTGTCAATGCAGGTCAAGACACAGCCAAGAAAGAATGAAAGAATAGAAAGCTATTTACGTAAGAAAAAGATATTAGCTGATCTTTTAAACTTATCAAGAATCGGAGAAGTTACAATCTCTGAAGGCTATCTATCTATTCCAAAGTCTACAATTAGCAGTAAAAAGCATCTAGAAAACTGACTTTTAGACGATCGACTTACATCAAACGTCATTGAATTGAGGGTCATATAACATCTGGTAATTCTTGCAGGTTGATAAAAATCAGGTAAATAATTATAGAGAGAAAGCGAATTGTCGGTTACAATTTTGTGTAAGACTGAAAGAGCCCCATTAACTCTACGATGTCCATGTCCAAATTTAAGTCAGACAGGAGAAATTTAATGGAATTAAAAGAACGATCAAGCAGCCTTAAGTACGAATCTTCAGCAGATAACCACACAGGAGAACAAAATGAGGCAGAATAAAAGAAAAGAAGCACCAACGAGTAATGTCATATTCATAGATTTTCTTGCACTTGCGAATAATGCCTTCAAATGTAAGCTGTAAGAGCTTCTGGTTATCCACTGAAGTGATTAAACTCCATTAATCAGCAGACTTGGATGCTGAGGCAACTGCGTTCGAGACCGACTCACAATTATTTCTTTAGATTTAGTAGGATTTAATTTCATGCCCCACCGAGAGCACCGCGATTGAATCATCATCAGGGGCAGTATTTATCAAAATACTGAGTATTTCACTGAGCGCTACACTCAAATCCCAGCCTATATCACTCCGCTGAGCAAAGTACTCAAGTGGTATCTATGAAAAGTCTGAGTGAGACTGTCAGCTACTATTTGCCTAGTAGCCGGAGAAGGAATATCAGCATAGAGAGAACTATCATCAGTATATGCCATTTTATTAGTAATGCCATATTGTGGAGGTTTCTATAGGCATAAATCTGCAATTGCTTATTTTCAAGATGGTTGGCTGTGTTGAACATCAGCGGTAAAAAGATTTTAAAAGTTGATTTTACAAATATCTTTATTTGGTTTACATTGGAATAAAATAGTATTAGATTAATGGGACGGAAGAAAAATAAAGTCGATTTCTCAACTATTTTTGTTTTCGAAAGTCGGGGAAAACAAGAACGGCGGATCCGTAAACCAAAGAATAAAATCATTGTCGCCTTGTAGATGATGTTCATGACATATAAGAATAATGATAATGACATTAATAATAGTAATGATAACCATATAAAGGATAGTGATATTATTACTTCTAATCATCCAATATTATCATTATCATTATAAGTATAGTAATCGAATGATAAGAATTAGTATGGACAGTTTTTTTTAGAGCCAGATTGCATCTCCAGACCCATGAGGGCATCAAGAGGCTCCTATCGATATCTACTAACGAAATATAGCAAAAATAATCGACGTAATTAATTAATAAACGCAATATGAATGGTCTATTTTTATTAGGATCATCACTTTTGCAGTTTCTTTTTCTCTACGTTATCATCACTATATTTCTCTTTCTCTATGTGTGTGAGAGAGAGAAAGAACCCAATTTCTCGTCTGCGTGCGTTTGTAGTCACAGATCAGTTTATATTCCAAATAGAAGGACGGAAACGGAGATGTTACCTGGAAAGGGAGAAAAAGCTTAGAAAAAAAGATTATTCGAAGGGTGAAAACAATAATGGCAATAACGCTAAAGCATGAAATAACAGAGGGAAGGTGATCAGAATGGTGTTGCACATGAATATAACAATAATGGCAAGTTGACAAATGTAATAACTACTAAAAGCAGGGCAAGGGAGGGAAAAGGGAGTACGAAAGGGAATGAGAATAAAAATAAGGTAGCACAAGAAACGGAGGACGGAACAGAGAATAGAAATGGGAGAAGAAAACGGAAAAAAATGATAGATAAAAAAGACGAGAGGAGAATAGTTAAAACAAAGATAAGAAGAGCAGACATAGATTGGCAATAAAGTGATGAGTGATTTAGAGAAAGGAAAGAAAGACAAAAAAAAAGAAACCCCGAGACTGAAAACAAGCAAGTGGGAAGGGAAGACAAGAATAAAAGAATACGAGGAAGAGACAAGAAACAAAGATAGAAGAGAAGAAAAGGGACCTGAGAGTGAGGGGAAAGAAGCTCTTGGGGAAAGCGTTGCCAGGTAAAGGGATGACACGGGATGCACACGCTGCCTCGCTAACTGACATAATGTACTTCCTCTTTTTATTTTCTGTTTTCTTTTTGTTTTGCGAAGTCCGGCTACAAGAGTGAGATGAAAAAGAGAGGAAAGGTAGATGAAAAAAGAGGAGAGGAAGAGAGATGAAAAAGAGAGGAAAGAAAGAGAAAGGAGAGAAAATGGAGCAAGAGAGGGCAGATAAAGGAGAGAGAGGAAATAAAGGAGACAGAAAAGAGAGGAGTAAGAGAAGGTAAGAGTTTGAGAAGGAGAGAGAAGGTGAACTGGAGGGGTGGAGGTTGAGATGAGAGAAGATCAAGAGAAGGGGAGAAAATTAAAAGATGACAAGAAGGTTGAGAGAAGCTCCGGAGAAGGAGATAAGAGAGGTCAAGAGAAGTTGAGAGAAGAGAAAAGGTTGAGAGAATAAGGGAAGTAAGAAGGTCAATAGAAAGAGAGAAGAGAAAAGGTTGAGAGAATAAGGGAAGTAAGAGGGTCAAGAGAAAGAGAGAAGAGAAAAGGCTGAGAGAATATGGGAAGTGAGAAGATCAAGAGAAAGAGAGAGGAGAGTTTGAGAGGATATTGGAAGAGGACGACAAAGCGGAAAACAAGTGTTAAAACATAACTACGAATTCATAACAGATCTTTTCTCTTTTTTTTTTGTCTTTTTTGTCTTTTCGGGGATCTGATATCTATTATGCTATAGAAAAAGGGATGAACAATCTTTGATGTTTCTTTGTTTGTCTGTCTTCAGATTGTGTTTAATTTGTATCATTTTGTGTGTGCTTGTGTGTGTGTAACGCATGCGTACATACACGAATAGCAAAACACACTCACAGGAAAATAATGAGAACGAGGTTGATTGGTAGATAGATAAGGGTGTATAAACGGACAAAGACAGTTATAGAAATAGATATAGTGTGTCGTTTTCCATTCATATATACAATTACGCATGGATGGAAAAACACTTTACCGTGTTGATATTTACGGTAGAAAAACCCACAAAGCACAAACTAAATTAATTGAAGTAATTTAGACAACAGTTTCTGAATCGTCCTTGATTCCATCTTCGAGTCAGATCGGAAGATGGAATCAAGGACGATTCAGAAACTGTCTGAATTACTTCAATATATTTAGTTTGTGCTGTGTACAATGATATAGACAAATAAAATTTGCTTACTCGCTGTGCCCAACACCAAACAATAGATCAAATACTAACAACACCCCGTAAAACAAACCAAAACCACAATTCCGCACTGTTACCGCGAACAAGAAAACAAGACTCCATACTTTAACAACCTAGCATGGTTATAACAACAATTCACAAAACTCGGCAACAGATCAACAGTAGCTCCCAACCTGTTCACCTCCTACCCAACGCCGGACGCTCTGCAGCCGCTGGCCACTCGCCGGTTCATCGGCATCTCCGTTTTCTATGCCACATTTCCCAAGTACCCCAGCGAATACAATTTGTTGACAGTCCCCCCCAATAGCTACCGATTTCCTTTTAATTATTTCACAGTTTGTGCAATGTGTTTTTTCTTACACAATTACACATGCGCCACACATACATATACAAATATACACGAAAAATTCAAAATAAACACATTTTTTACACAATGTGTAAACACAAACAAAGAGACTTCAAATATTATTTATTCCATTTTTCTTTCGATTTTTAAAAAATCAGATTACAGCTATAAAATACTCAAAAAGAAAATGAATGAACCGTCATCTTTTCCGGTATCAACGAGAGCGTTGCGCGACGCGGTAACACCCAAAGCTTCCTCGTGATCGGAGGCGAGACACGTCGCTAAGCTCTGTCCACTTCTGTGACGTAATGGGAATGGCCGCGGTTGACGGCGAGTTGTTTTACTGTTCTAGTTGTTTTTTTCGATTAGTACACAGTATTTATTCATATAATATCCTAGAGGGCTTTTGGTATCTTACGATCGATTGTGTTATGTCATAGATATCCAATATAGATACAAATATGCATGAAATATCCGAAGTAGGAGGAGTGCATCTGGCAGCTGGATAAATGTCTAGCACTTGCTCGATTCCTGTCGCGCAAGAGGTGTCGCGTTTGCCGTACCCTTGGAAAAGACGGCACATGTTTCTTGCTATATCTCATCTCTCTCGCTCTCTCTCTCTCTCTCTCTCTCTCTCTCTCTCTCTCTCTCTATATATATATATATATATATATATATATATATATATATATATATATATATACACACATATACAGACACACGTTAATATCTCTGCATTGTTTCCCTCACTTTCTTTAATTCTCTAGGTATCCTTACCAATATACGATATAGAGAGTAGTCAAGTATTCGTTACACCAATTCGTTCCAATTCCTCTAGATAGCATCCCTGTATTCCTTTTCAATATCCAATGTCTGTATCATCATCGGTTCGTAGCTGGACTTACACAAAACAAAAAGAAAAAAGAAAATATGAAAAAAGAGGAATCACTCTTAAGAGGCTAGTGAATGAGCATGTGTATCGTATGTTATCCCTTTGCCTGGCAATGTTATTTCACATTTCTGCTACACTTTCCCCAAAAGCTTCCCTTTGTCGTTTCTAGACTTCTTTCCCCTCCCAAATCCCTTCCCTTCTCTTCTGTCTCTGCGTTTCTTGTTTCTTCCTCGCATTCCTTTATTCTTGTGTTCCCTTCCCTCTACCTCGTTGTAAATCGGGTTTTCTTTCTCTTTTTCTTTACTTTAATTTCTCTAAATCTCCCCTCACTTTATTGCCTATCTTTGTCTATTTATATTCATTTTGTTGTATCTATTTCCCTTTTTTTCTACTTTCTATTCTTTCTTCCTTCCGTTCGTTTCCGTAACTTCTCCAGAAACCTCTTTTACTTCTTTCCTTATTCGTATTTTTATTCCCTTCCCTTTCGATCATTGGCGTTATTGCCATTATCCTTTTTATCCTTCGAATGATCCTTTTTTATAATCTTTTTCTCTTTCCACGTAACATCTCCGTTTCTGTCCTTCTTTCAGCTTTATATATTTTTGCAAAGTGAACTGATCTGCGGCTACAAGCGCACGCAGACAAGCAATTGTGTTTTTTTTTCTCTCTCACACGTACACACACACAGATATAGAGTAAGATAATGATAATCACATTGCAAAACGAAGTGAAACAAACAAATCAATAGCAAACTGCAAAAACTCCAGCCTTAAAATTCCGAATAGCAGAATATTAAATAGTCTATAGGGCTTAATGTTTTAAGCACCTGCCTTCGAGACGGAGGACTGGGGTTCGGTTCATCATTAGGGGCCTAACGCCGACGGGAGCGCATAGCCGCATCCACCCTTTGTTTCCACCTTTTACGGTCCCTCATGGAAAGCCGCCAGGCAGGGACTCGTCCCATCTCGAGCACCTCACGACAGGTTTGATCGCTCTGCCCAAGCCACGACCTCCTAGGTCGTCCACAGGCCTCCTCCACCAAGGGTTGACTCTTGCAGAGACAACCTGATGAGCAGGATCATCCTGTGGGAAACAATCCAGTGGGCCCTATAGCCTGAGTTGGCGATCACGGATTGTACAGGTAACAGGTCCTGTGCCTGTCTCATGGCGCAACCATTGGTTGATCACGTGGTCCTGCCAACAGTAACCGATGATGTGGCGCATCTTTTGTATAGTACACCTAGGATGTAGGCTAAGTACCAGGGTGTACCATTCCTCCTAGGGACCCTTAACTTTAACAAAGATTTTATGGTATATAAAAAAATATTAAACTTATTTTACCCTACATAATGCAGTATTTTATATGACTACATTTTTCTTTCAGTCACTTACATGGCTTTATTCACCAAATTCTACCCTGTACTAAAGCAGAGGGAGTCTGCTTTTCAAGCAGGAAAAAAATTATACAAAATAAACAAATGTATAAAGGGAAAATAGTGGAACCTTTTAATATACTAACTGATAAAAGAAAGATGAAGGAGATAAAACCTGACAAATAACATATATCTTGCAAAAGGTGATAAGTTATCATTGCATACAAATAGGAATACAGAAAATGAGAAGCAGGTCAGATTTTTATAAACACAAAATTGTATAATTTTTTGTATGTGGGACAAATTAGGTGACATATAATTGTACAACTAACATAATGAGATTCTTAGATAGTTGGCTTGCCTAGGATCAGTAAGACCCAAAAGACAAAATTAATCTTCCTGTAAACCAGGAATAGCCAAATAATTTTTTTGACAATCCAAACTGATAAAAAAAAGATAATATATCAAATAAAACAATAATCTGGAACTTTAAATTAGAAAGCCTACTGGCAACCTATGTCATAAATGAACTTTTTCTGCTTCTTTTTCAATACATTTTTCTGCTGATAATCCAATCGATGACTTCTACCATTACCTTTTAACCATTTATTGTTGATGGTGCGCACTGCCTTTGACAGATTTATAACATATTAATTTAATAATAACTGACACTGCATATAACTTTACTCACAGTAATTTTCTTTCCATTGTAAAGTATTCCTCGTGTAATTTATGTTATTTTGGTCTTGTTCAAAACCAAGCAACTGCATCCCTCTTTGTGTATTCCATGAAAGTCCTCACTTATAATCTCAAGAATATCCTAAATGGCAACCTTGTTTTGTAACTAGTAAGGGATTCATGTGTATGTTAGGATATGAAACATGATTTTGGAAATATAAAATCAAATATTTTTATTTCTTTACACTTACAGCAATTCAAATTAAACAAGCCTTCATAAAAATTTTATATAAATAATATTATCAAATTTAATTTGAACTATCTTTATGAGCAATCATCACTTGTACAAAATCCATCTATTATACCATAATAACGAATACTTCTGTTGCAGGCAATCTCACCATGGAATTGGTTAACTTCATAAAATCTTAGCAGAAGTCTTCAGCAACTGAATGGATGTGTATGGCCTTGTAGATTTTTTTTTCTTTTAGCAGCAAGAGTGCAGCTGCTACAATTTTCTTTTCTAAATGATCTAATGGTGAGTTATACTGACTTATTTGTATTGCAAGCAGAGAGGCATTTTGGAATTGTAAATCAGTGCTTTTGCACTTAAAATATATCCTAACGGAGTTCTTGTTCTATACGTTTACTGTTCATCAAAGAAAATAAAGTACAGCTTATCATAAAGATAAAACAAAGAGGATATTGTATATATTCTTCTTCGAAGAACAAAATAAAATAAAGAAAATAAACTTTTAAGTACCAATCAATTCTAGAGAAAAGAATAAAATATCAGAATTTACATAGTATACAGTTACAACTATTAAAAACTAATGTTGATGTGTTAAAATAATTAAATAGGTTTATAAAATAAGAGAGAAATCAATTATATGTTAAGTAATAAACATTATATTCAGTTTGTATTTTAGATACAATTGCACTCATCTTCGATTTCATCTGTAATTTCTTGACAGCCCCCTCATCCTAAATTTTATTGTATTTAACTTCTAATTCATTTCCTTGCTATTCAGTTGTTGTTTCTGTTATCATTTGCTATAGGAAATTACTTCACCTTCTTCAAAGGTACATGAGGCAGAGTGTTCATGTACTTGCAGATGACACTTAACATTACCTCATCTGCTCCTCCACCTATGGAAAAGAGCCTTAAGTCTCGATACAGACGGCTTACCAACACCTGTTCAAAGAGGATAATAAAGATTAAGATATAGAATTCATCTGAGGTCTTCATCCTTCATCTTTCATCAGTAATCTTTCTCCCTTTGTATCTCACAAAAACACCAAACTGAAACTATCTTTCTCTGAATATCACCTGCTATGATATTCTGCAAGTTTTATAATATACAATGTGTCCGCAAAAAGCATTCAATAAACTAACCTCATTGGTAAAACCCATGCCACCCCAAAACTGCAGTAAAGAATCTGTGAAGACACGGGCAAGACGACCAGATTTCAATTTGCACATTGATGCTAACTTTGTAACATCCTGGCCAGCCACAAGAAGATCTGGAAATAACAAAAAGATGCAGGAAGGAAAAAGATCATTAATGTTTGTTATATAAAGAATATATGCTTACACTTTTTAAATAGATTCATAACAAAATCTGTCCATAATATTGATAATCACCCTCTATTTCAAATGGGTATTACACAGAAATATATCCAAAAAGTAACTCCAGTTTAGTTATCTAAATACCATATAGATTTCCAATCTGTATTAATTGAGTTTACATTGGAATGTTTGCGTTACAATCAAGTCATATTCTACATTTGTTAATTCCCTTACTCTTTAATTATTTGTGCTGGGATGACATACATGCCATATCCACTGTGATTTTAGTTATGTTTGCACACTGCTTGCTTGCTTGCTTGTTGAATTTCTTGGCTATCAACCAGCGGCATATGACCACGTTAACACAGCCAGCCAGGATCATTAAACCAATTCATTGTATCAATCTAGTTAAGGTCATAAAGTTTTGTCTCCCTTAGAAAAGTTTTTACTTCACTTATTATTTTTTCATCATCATGATAGTGTGAATTCTTTATTTTTGATATGTAAATAATTCTTTATTTTTGTCTATCGTGTATGTATTGCTGGCATACTGTTTACATACAAATTTTCAGTATCTTATTTGATTTACATCAATATAAGAATCTTAATATCAGTATAATAATCAAAATGTCAGTGATTTAAATGGCTGCAAAGATACTTAGTTCAATTTTTCATGAAAATCAGTATTTTTGATATGTAAATAATTCTTTATTTTTGTCTATCGTGTATGTATTGCTGGCATACTGTTTACATACAAATTTTCAGTATCTTATTTGATTTACATCAATATAAGAATCTTAATATCAGTATAATAATCAAAATGTCAGTGATGTTAATAACACTATCAGCATAAAAAAAAAATCCCTGAAAATTCAAATAATGGGGAACTGTGATGGTCTTGTTGGGCCTACTAATTGACTTGGTGGCTGAGCACTCGTATAGCCTTCTGTGTACAACAAAAATCACAAAAAGCTACAGTGGGCAGTGTATGTAACTGGGTTAATCCTGATGCAAAAATCAATTACATTGCTATCTACTTCCAAAGATATACTCATGATCATTGAACAAAAGAGCCAAAAGTCCACAATATTAAAAGAAGAAGAAAAAGATGGATACTAACCAACTGCTCTATAAATCAGTGATCTTAAACATTCAAGTTCTGTTTCTAGCTCAGCTAAGCGAAAGTGAATGTACTGATTGTTAAGCAGAGGCTGCCCAAAAGCTTTCCTCTCCCTTGTGTAGTCAATTGTTTCCTCCAAGATTGTTTTCAGTGGAACTAGAGTCCCTAAGGCCATAGCAAGGCGTTCTTCTTGAAACTGTAAAAAAAAAGACACCAATGATGGACTAGATAACTGTATTCAGTACTGTAACCAGTCTCAATAAACCAACTTGCAGAAAGCAGCTTTGACAAAACATGTCCACACTTTATAAATCTAAACCTCATGGAACAGATGATAAACACAATGCCACAATATAATGAAAAGAACAAAATCCGCCATAATTGGTCAAACTTGGCTTTTTTCCAAGTGATTAAATGTAAGATCTAAAATACCTTACTACATTTCATATGTTCTTGATCACTATGAATTACATCCTTACATATTGATATCAATGAGAGAAAGAAAAGAGCGAGCATATCCATACCTGTTTCATCTGATATATGAATCCCATTCCTTCTTCTCCAACAATATTCTTTGCTGGGACTCGTACTTCATCAAAGAAGATGTGGCCTGTGTCAGAACTTCGCATTCCCAACTTATCAAGCTTTCTTGCAACATTGACACCTGCAAGTTAGATAAATAAGTGGAAAAAATAAGTCAGTTTTCTTTATTGAATACCATCGCTTTCACATAAGAGCATTTTTAAAAGTGACTGTACAGAAAGTGGTTTCAAAAGTGAAAACAAAGCCACTTGCTGTATATAGGCTATGTTGGGCACTAAACTGAGAAGACTGAGCAATAAAATTTATTTAATCATATGATTACAAAAATACATGTAAGGGTGGTGTACCCATATCACAGACTGACCTAGAAAAAAATTATAAAAAGAAAAAGAAAGAAAGAAGATATAATATATATATATATATATATATATATATATATATATACACACACTTATATGTATATGTATGTATATATATATATGTATATGTATATGTATATGTATATGCATATGCATATGTATATGGATATGTATACGATATATATATATATATATATGTATACGTATATTATATATATATATATATATATATATATATATATATATATATATATATATATAAATTAATTAATTGATCAAACAATATACTTATGTACATACAATCCTTGAAAACTAAAATACTTATACTTGTTACAGAAATAACACATTCTTCATTGTCATAAACAAGAAAACTGGTCAACATGATGAATGTAACATGGATAAGGATAAACAGAAAAAAAACAATCTGAACTCTCATTGCAATATAACTATAGTGAGAATTACCCTCACCTGGAGTATTCATAGGCACACATATCAAAGACTTGTTGCGGTGTGGAGGTCCTATGGAAGTATTGGCTAAGATGCATATCCAGTCAGCCTGACAAGCATTTGTAATCCACAGCTTTTGACCATTAATTATTAGGTCATCCCCCTGCTGACGTGCTGTTGTCTGCAGCCCTGCAACATCTGAGCCAGCACCTGGTTCACTTACTCCAAGACATGCAACCACATCTCCTGAGATTGCTGGTGCTAGGAATTCCCTCTTCACATACTCATTTCCAAATCTACAACCATTATATATTAGCATTAGCTTCTAAGGTATGTCCCTGCTTGATTATATTTATCTTATCAGAGCCAAGGCTATAAATGACTCTAGGACAGCTATAATTTTTTTTTTTTTTTTTACAATGTTTGAATTTACAGTCATATACTAACAAAGTAAAGGAAAAAAGAAAATTCATAAATAGAACATAACTTAACATAGATATGGTATGCTTTAAAAGTATGGCAGAGTAACTTTCTTTGTAATATGAAAATATTACCTGGAGAGGGCAGGTGTAGCTACATCAGTCTGCACACCAATACCTAAACTAACGCCTCCTGCTCGAATGTGACCTAAGGCTTCTAGATAAGCAGCATGGTATTTATAATTCAGGTTTAAACCACCATATTCTAACAAAAAAAGGAAAAAAATATATATGAAAGTTGTTTAAATATGATATATGATTATTCATTGTTTATTAAGATCTGCTCTTTTTCCTTTACTGTCTGATATATGCACATTGCTATATAATTGTTATATGAAATAGTATACAGGAGAGAAGAAGACGAGATACCAGGAAAAACATTATATAAATAATAACACACACACACACACACACATATATAATATATATATATATATATATATATATATATATATATATATATATATATTATATATATATACATATATATAATATATATATATATATATATATATATATACATATAATACATATATAACATATATATACATATACATATAATATATAATATACATATATATATATATATATATATATATATATATATATATATATATATATATATATATATATATATATATATGAGAGAGAGAGAGAGAGAGAGAGAGAGAGAGAGAGAGAGAGAGAGAGAGAGAGAGAGAGAGAGAAGAGAGAGAGGAGAGAGAGAGAGAGAGAGAGAGAGAGAGAGAGGGGGGGGGGGAACAAGTGTTACCTGTAGGTTTGTTGATGCCTAGAAAGCCTGCCTGACCCAGGAGCTTAAAAATCCTATGGCCTGGCCACTGTCCTGCTGCCTCCCACTCATCAACAAATGGGTTGATTTCAGTTTCAATCAGCTAGTGAAATAAAAATAGTTCAGAAGAAAAGAAGCAACCAGGAAATAATACTAAACTTAAAGAAGCATGTCTGACAAATATGTATATAAAGATTTGTCAATCAGTCAAGTAAACTGTATCATATCTTCCTCACTTTAAATGCATCAATCTATATTTATGTAGTCATGCTTAAGAAGCAACCAGGAAATAATACTAAACTTAAAGAAGCATGTCTGACAAATATGTATAAGCTGTATGCTGTTACAAGATATGAAGTTCATTATTTATTAGGGGTTAAAGAGGCAGAGCCATTGTATTATCAGTGTTCTTTCTCTAAATTCCTTAACAAAATTAGTACCCCCTCAATCCATTAGGGCAAAGAATATGGACAAAAAGGTTAGTTCGCAATAAAGCCACTAAAGGGGGATGAATTTGTGACAAGTCCAGTACCATGTAAATAGCAGCTGATAAAAATTAGATGTCAGTATAACTGTCCATGCTCTTTTTACAAGCAGTAACTTTTCACAATAGCTTTGCATAAACAATTATGGCATTTCAAGTATTGATGGATTCCTATTACTCTTTAGTACACATATATGTAAGGATTATGCTGTGGAACACCCCCAAACCACAGTCTTGGCCCAGATAGCAGGAAAAGGCATGCAAGGTACCAGGGAAATTGCAGAGTAAACTACAATAATATAATAATAAGTCCTCACTATACTGCTGAATGCAGGGGACTGCACAGCCCTCTGGGTAATTTTTTGCAATAGTTCTGCCCAACAGATTGTGACAATTTTGGATTCTTTGGATTCCTCTCCCTCTCTACTTTCCAAACATACAGAAAGTATTATGCAGAATTCCCCCAAACCCTACATTCTTAGCCAAATAGCAGGGGAGGGCATGAAAGGTACCAGGGAAATGTTGGGGTAAAATAAGATCAATTACATTTACAAAATTAGTCATATTGTTTAATGCTTAGGGGCTGTGCCCCCTGCAACCCCCCTCCCCCATGGGGAGCTGCCATCCCTCAACCCCCACCCAGGAAAACAAAGAATCCCAGTATTCATGTTAGGAGAGGGCATACAACCGCCACACAGGGACGCCATTGCCAAGTCTGTCTGATGCTCTCTCCTGTGGTAAATATGTGGAGGATTCTTTGTGTTTCATTGTCGAGGTTGCAAGGGGCACAGCCCCCTTCATTAAATAATATTGTGATTGATTATGTATATCATTTATATTTTGCACCAAATTGACTGGTACCTTTCATGCCCTCTCTGCTATCTGAGCCAAGCTTGTCACTGGCTGGGGAGTGGTTCTGTGTAATAATTTCAATATCAGGGAATCAAAAATTGAGACAAATCCAACAATACCAAAATTGTCACAATCCATTAGGTGGAACTATACTACATATTGCGAAAAATTAACAACCCCTGCATTACACAATATAGTGACTGATTCTGTGTAAATCATTCATATTTTACCTCTCAGTTTCCCTGGTGCATTTTATGCCTTCTCCTGCTATTTGGGCCCAAGATTTTTTTTTTTTTTTTTTTTTTTTCAGCATAATTTCAACTTAGTTCGATAACCTATGCCTATATATTAGAGTAAACAGCCATGAAGGTTGACAGTCATGAAAAAAAAAACAACACGCACGCACGCACACGCACGCACACGCACACGCACACGCACACGCACACGCACACGCACACGCACGCACGCACACGCACACGCACACGCACACGCACACACACACACACACACACACACACACACACACACACACACACACACACACATATATATATATATATATATATATATATAGTTATATGCCACAGAGTGCATTACATAGACCCATGACAACGATGGACTAATTCATGTCAGTATAAACTTGTGGCCTTTGGCTCACTTTTATTAAAGACCTTTGAAGTTCCTGGTGTTCTTGGTCATAATATCCATCTTGTATCTTGGTTTTCGTGCTGTTGTTTGTAGTAGATATACAACCCTCGTCTGCCAGTAGCAATAATTGTACGCGAGAAAAGCAGGGAACTTTTGTTAGACAGCGCCATCCTTCCACCTTCCAGTGCTGGACAAAACTCCGGTCTCGAGTCTCCGTCAGTTTTCTTTGTTTTCGACGAAGAGAAAACGATACAATCTCCGAATTTTAGCCAATACTAGTGTATTTTAGAAAGGGACTGTGATAATGAAGAATGTTAAATAAACCACATTTTACTAGGAAACAAACAAGTGTAATAACAAACAAGAACAACAACAAACAAGAACAACAACGAACAAGTACAACAACAAAACATCATAAAATGTATTCACAGAATACAGATACAATCATTTTTTTACTGATAATAACATTTCAAGATTTGGTTCAAACTGACCATTATGACTGCAGTTCTTATTGTAGTCTTTAAAGTGAATTAAAAATTTAATTGTTTCTAATTTAAGGCCATTCCGATGCTTTCTTTTGATCAAACTATAGTGTGAAAATAGACTCTCGGCGTCAGCATTATAACATGGAAGTGATAAAACTTCGAGCGCAAATTTACCTAAATTCTTATATTTTTTATTTCCAAAATAATCTTCAATACTTAGAAGCTTTTGGTAAAAAATTTCAGCATCTTTCTGCACTTCCTTTATATCCATATTCTCGGGAAATGTGTGCTAAAAATGATATCCTGCCATTGGTCATCAACCTTTTGTTTTTCACAATTATCACTAATTCTACGCACTTCTTTCATTAATTCATTTAGTGATGTTACGGTTGTTATGAAATTAAGGCCCAAGATGTTTTTTTGGATGCAGGTAGGACACAGATTTCCATAGTGTGTTCATGTCATTTTTTTTTTTTTTTTTTTTTTTTTTTTTTTTTTTTTTTTTTTTTTTTTAATCTGAGCACAAGCTTCAATCAAGAATAATCTGCACCTGTTTCTGATGATGGATATGGTATCACCTTCTAAATATTGGGACTTGCTTAAAAGATCTATCATTGCCACCCCAAGGTACATCTGATTAAGAGGTTTGTGGTACGTGCCATTAGCTGGGTCAATTTCACTCACATGCACTTTGGCTAATACATCTTGGTAACAAAAGCAGTTGAAGAGTCTCTTGTATTAAAAAAAAATGCTCAAAATGAATAGTTGGACCTTGTGACTGAAAAATTACGTTAATGCTATTGAGATGGTTAATGGTTAATGGTTAAAATAAATGTGATAGACATCTAAGGTCATATAGCACTATAGGAAGGTATGGTAAAGGGGGATGTCAGGTGATAGTTGCTATGTGTCAACTATCTAGAGTAGTGTTGAAAGGTTGAAGATGGGGGAAAAGGTTATGGTGGTTTAGGTAAGGGAGTTAGATCAAGTGAAGGATATTTATGCGTCTGAGGAAGGAGAACAGGTTGTCAAGGCAGAAGCTGTGGGATTCTGTAAGGATGTCCGATATGTTGGGGTCGGTGAAGGAGGATAAGTGTGGAAATGCAGAGGTACGTGCTGTATTAAAGCGTGGACAGGACAAGAGAATGTGTGGAACTGAAAGAGGGACGTTACATAGAGGACAGAGGGGCGGGTCTGAGCGTGACATTAGACAGGCGTGTGTTAGGCGAGTGTGGCCAATACGTAAGCGTGCGAGGACCGTCTCCCAACGTCTGTTTTTGTGAAATGGAGCTGACCAAGAGGAGATTGATGGTTTTACAATATGTAATTTATTGTTGTGGAGTCTTGACCAAAATGATTGCCATCGGGTATACAAGAAGGTTTTAAAGTGGGGATAATAACCCGTAGTTGGAATATGCGAGAAGCGTATTTGAGGTGATTGTGGACATAGCGTGCAAGAGTATCTGCCTGTTCATTGCCAGGATCCAACATGGCTGGGTACCCAGCAAAATCTGACATATTTGTGACGTGTGGATAGATAGAACAACCAGTTCTGGATCTTACAGACAAGGGGATTGGTCGAGTGTAAAGATAGTAAAAGAGGAAGAGGGGGATGAGTATATGCGTCTTAAGGCAAAAAGGAGTGCATATAGTTCTGTAGTAAGGACACTAGATTCAGGAGGGAGGGTGTATTTGAAAGTGCAGTTTGGGAATGTTACTGCGAATCCAGCTCCTGAGATGGATTTGGAACCGTCAGTGTAAACATGAATGCTGGAGGAATGAATGGAGACATGGTCAAGGAAATGAGTGAGAAGGATAGAGGGGGGAATATCTGATTTTGGTGGGTCAGGGAAAACTGAGGAGCAAATACAGGGGTTAGGTATAAGCCATGAAGGAATGGAATGGACAGAAAGTGGAAGGGGTCGGAAGTGAGGAAAGGGGGAATGGAAGAGGAGGGTATCCATGCGTACGGGGAGAGGAGTTGGTAAACGTGGAGAAGAGGTAAAGGTATGAAGTAAGGATTGTGGAATAGTTAGTTTGGTAAGGGAAAATTGGTGAAATCGAGCATAGCATCGAAGAGAGAGAAGTGCTCGACGTCGAGAGAGGGACGGCATGCCAGATTCAGTATATAGGCTCTCAACTGGAGAGGAGCGGAAGGTGCCTAGGGCTAAGCGGAGACCGCTGTGGTGGATTGTATCAAGATGAGCAAGAAGAGAGGTTGATCAGAGGAGTAGATATGGCATCCATAATCTAGAGTGGAGAGAATCAAGGTAACATGAAGATGGAGGAGAGTTTTGCGATCTAAGCCCCAGGAGAGGTGTGAAAGAGTTTGTAAGATTCGGAGGCGGCGTTGATCTTTTTCTTTGATGTACAAGATATGGTCTCGCCAGGACACTTTGGAATCAATATAACGCCTAAGAATTTGCCAGAAGAACGGTATTGGAGTGGAGCGTTATACAAGAAGAGTGGGGTTTGGGAACCGTACGTGACCGAGAGAAAAGGATGGGGAAAAATTTAGAGGTAGAGAAGCGAAAGCCATGGTTGGTGGCCCAAGAAGTTACTGATGTTATTGCAGACTGGAGGAATTGACAGATCTGGTATGGATGTGCCAGATGTATAGATGGTTAAGTCATCAACATATATGCCCGGCTCCTGGTGGTAGAACTGAGGCTATGTCATTTACAGCAAAAAGGAATAAAGCGGTACTAAGTACACTTCCTTGTGGGACGCCTTCGAATTGAGGAAAGGATGATGACGTGGAAGAGGCAATTTTGACCTGGAAAGTACGTTTAGAAAGGAAGGATTTGATGAAAACGCCCATGTTTCCACGTAAACCTAAGGACAATTGTTGGAGGATATGGTATCGCCATGTGGTATCATATGCTTTTTCTAGATCAAAGAATATGGCTAATACGGATTCATGGCGTGCAAATGCCGATGTAATATATGTCTCGAAATGGGCAAGTGGGTCTGCTGTACTTCGGGCACGTCGGAAACCAAACTGGGAAGGGGAAAGGAGATTATGAGATTCAAGATACCACATTAAGCGGAAGTTAACCATTCGTTCTAGTAGTTTGCACAAGCAGCTAGTTAGAGCTTGGGGTAGGGTACCTGATTTATTGGGTTTTAAGAAAGATAGGATAAGAGCATCTCGTCAATGAGAAGAAAAATTTCCTGACGTCCATATGAGGTTGAAAATAGTTAAAAGGAAGGATAGAGAAGATGGGAGGTGTCGGAGCATACTAAAGTGAATACCATCAGGGCCTTCATGAGTGTTGCGGCACGACTGTAATGCAGCGTTGAGTTCAGAAGAAGAAAAAGGAGCATTATAGGACTCATCAGAGGATAGGGTGAAGGTAATAGGGATGCGTTCTTTGATGGTTTTAATGGCAGGGGAGATACCTGTATTGGGTCTCGTCTTCGTCTCCTAAGCCCCCCCCCCCCCCACGACAACAACGGGCAAGGGATTGGGGGGGATGCTATTGAGATGTGGCAATATGTACTGAAGAAATGTTAAATATGCAAAAATATATTTTTCATGTAGTGCTCTGTGAATTTTCTGTACTGTTGTTAGCTTTTCCTCTATCCAAATTTTATCAAAATACAATTTAAGGGGCCCCCAATGTGTTGATACTCTATTTACTGCCTTTTCCAAAGATAACTACCTGGTTGCACAAGGATGGAGCATTTTGTGCGGTTTTAATTCACAGAATAGCTGGTACTCCTAGAACTCGTACTTCCTTTTTACGCTATGACAAAATAAGTTGTACACATTATGGATCAAGTCCTCACAACATTGAGGAAGCGTTTTGGCGGCCGCACTTGAACATAGATGGATACTGCGCGATACACATTTAAAAATTACAACTCCTGGCAGTTCTTTTCTAAGCTTGCTCGTCAAACTGTTGACGTTCCCCATTATATTGGAGGCTCCGTTCGCAGCAAAGCCTACAAAGTTGTTCAATAGGATGTTATATGTTTTAAGCATTTTAACAACAAATTATAAAGCTCCTCCCCAGAAGACCTACCCGCATTCCCATCAAATACACTGAGGACATCAAGCATTACAGTTGTTATTTTACTTTCACATTTTGCCACCAGTGCTAATGCTTTATTTGTTGTACAATCTGTGGTTTCATCCAAAACGATACTAAATCGGTTTTCCTGAAACTTCTTTGCGACGTTGCTTGCGAAGTGGTTGCCGAGTCTCGACGAGGGAGGCACATTTTTTCCTATTCATTGTCATCTGCGCGGCGATCCGGGAATCAGGAAACATTCTTCTGTGTAAGTTTCCGAGATCTTCACACATGCTGAAATTGTGATTTGTATGAATATAAAGATAAAATATATTTCTTTGACACCATTGATCATATATACAAATATACATGCATGTATGTATATCATATAATTCATTCGTTTTCATTTAAATAAAGAAAAATGATAAAAATGACCTAAATGGCAAGTTGTGCTCTGCTAGAAAGACCACGAATAATACAGTTGCATGTGCAACTGCATCCGTAAGTCTCTCCCCCTGTTCTCCATCGTGGCCAGGTTTCGGAGCCGAGGCGTTTGCTCTGTGTCTCATAACCAGGGCCTGGTGTCGGGGGCCCATGTGTCTTGAGAGAGATGAGATCTCTGCGCTCACGTCCTTGTAGCAGAGGAAGCATCGAGCCCTCTTGCTGTTACCCGGGATTCTAGCGAGCCAGCTCTTGAAGAGATCGTCTGCAAGCCAGTGTTCTTGGAAGGCTGGACCTTTCCGAGACATCTGAAATAAAAAGAATAACTCTAAAACACCTATTGCATTGACAACTAAAACCAATCATCTCCATACTCCGGGGTCCCTAATGTCTCTGTCCATTCGAGCGAGTTTTGCTTAGCAAAATTAAAGAGAAGCCTACGGAAATGCTGAGAACATTTCGCTCTCTTTCTTCCGAGAATAAATGATCTTTCAATGATGCCCAATTTAGATTGATCGGGTATTGAATGAATGATATACACAAAATGTTACAAATGATTTAAAAAGATCTGTGAAAATTTATCACATTCACTATTTTGACCAATTCTGAACCACTATGGGCAGGTAATTGCACCGATGCAAGCATTATTCCATCATGTAGACCGGTAAAGTCTTTTTCGGTAAATAACACGAAATTAAGTAAAAATCATTAGCTGACATTTTCCAAAACGATTATTTGCTTTAGTTTACGCTTAAATCTTTCTTTCAAAGAAAATGTGACACGTTTTACGGATACACTGAAAGTAATAAATTTA